TTTTCTTGTTTAGTTTGCAGTTTTCATAACCCGACAGCCGCTGACCTTTCAAGCGTGTAAGTAAAATTTTAATTGAAAACCCATTGAATTGTGGCCACAGCGGTAACACGCAAAGTGCATAGACCGTTATGCCGCAATGCCAATGTAACTACACACTCGGATAAATACAAATATTTATTTATGCGTACATAATAAATATCTACAAACACACATTTATTATGACATTCGAATGAATCACATATTTCTATTTACTGATTAACATATGCAAATACTCTGATTGCCGACAAGTTTGCTTAGCTATTTCGCACTCAAGGTTAAGTTGCCAGCCAAGTGTCGATTAAATTTTGGGTTCCGTACAATTTTGCAATTAATTTTAACTCCAGACCTAATTGAATGTAAAATACGGGTTATGGTTGACATGATTTCGGACACATAGCCAAACACAAACAAATATTTACTTTTGTTATTCATAAGGTTAATGAATTATTCACACACGTATGTATTTAGATATATGTGTTGAGTTTTCTTTTGTTTTGAGAATATTAATTGTAGTAAATGGATTTGAAGACGTATGTATAAATAAGTATGAATGTGAATTTTAGTTTGCTTCCGAAAGCCTATATTTATGTGTAGTAGCCATGTGTAGGAGTTAGTAATGTAAACAAAGTGTCTTTTAAAAATACATGTGATTTACAGGGGTTGTTCGATAAATTTTCGGGAAAAGTGAGCATAACAGATGAAAGTGGAAAATCTCAAAAATTTTATAAGAAAACAAAAGTTAATTGAAAGTCCACGGCCTTACACATAGATGGCGCTACTAGCATTAAATTCGCATTATTTTTAGTTCATCCTAATCTTCAAGAGACGCGTGTATAAATCTGGCTGCTGTCGGTTCATTAGTTTATGAGGTAGAGCATTTCGGCTGAAGCACTGTGTGTTAGTTTAACAAAAAATTGATCTAAAGTACTTTCGTCTGCTACTAAATTATTGCTTTTTTGGCCGAAAAAAATACAGCTAAAGCCGAGATTTGGATTGATCACTATTATCTGGATATCAACGGTTAAAAAGTAGTTTGCTAAGTTTGAGCGAGGCGAAATGAGCACCGTGGACGAAAAAGTCATTCGACTCCTTAAAGTAGCGGTAACCGACGAAAACTTCTAAAAAAAAGTCAACAAAATAATTATGGAAGCTCATTAACTGAAGTTGTTCGAAATAGCAGGCACTCTAGAAATATCAACTGAATTTGTACATCGTATGTTTCACGAATATTCGGGTATGAGAAAGCTCTGTGCAAAGTGGATGCCGTGCGAGCTCATTGTTGACCAAAAACAACGACGAGACAATTGACAGCCATCCAAATGGATCGCACATGATGTAACCGATCCAAAGCGTGGATCCAAATATTCAAATATTCGGCTGGTAAGGTTATGGCCACCAGCGACTATTTCCTATTCTCAGATCAAAAAAAAAAAAAAAAAAAAAAAGGATGTTCGTCCATTGAAGAGGCGATCGCCTAAACTGAGGCTTATTAAAACCGAGGCCAACGTTGAAGGGTCGCTCTAATCAGTGTATTTGTCTCGACGGGTACTATGTGGAACAGAAAAAATTGAATTGTGTTTTACT